TATAATATATATATATATAAAATAATATATGTATAATATAATAATAAATATGATATATATATATATTATATATAATATTATATATATATAAAACACAACACAACAACAACGCACAACATACAAGCACTCTATAACATACACAACACCACACACCCTCACACGATGCACACACACAGACCACACACGCCACACCACCCGCACAATTGCCCACTGCACGCACACACACACCCAGGCACACATGCACACGCACAACAAACACACACACTGCACACACAGCACCACTACACACACTCATCAACACACCAAACACACGCACCACACACAACACTCACACACACAACACACCCACACGCACACGCCCACACATACACACACACCCAACACACACACACAACACACACACACCGACACAAAACACAACACACACACACACACACACACACCACACACATAGCACACCACAACCACCACACAGCAACCACACCACACAAATTATATTTTTATTTATATTATAATATATATCATATATTATATACTTATATTTAATTATATATTTAATATTGTTTATATGTATATATTATACTATATTACTATATATATAGATATAAATATACTTAATACTTAGGTTATATAATTAGTATGTTTTTTTATAATATATATTATATTAATATATCTATATACACAACACAAACAACACGCACACAAAAACAAACACTCACACCACAACACCACACCACGCACAATAAATATATATATGTATATATATTTTATTTATAAATATTATATATTATATATATTAATATTATGATGTATACACAGCAACACACACACACACCACACACACCACACACGACACACACACCACATATATATATATTAATATATATATATATATATTATTATATATATATTATATTATATTAATATATATATATATAATATATATCTATAATTAACCACACACCCACACCAGCACCCACATATATATAATATATATATATAATATTTATATTATATATATTATATATTACATATATATTGTTATTACATTATATACTATTTTATAATAATATATATTATATACATATTATATATATTATATATATAATATATTATATAATATATATATATTATATATATCTATTATATAGTATAACACAGATAACCACACACACAACACTCTACACCACAAATTTATATATATTATATATTATATATATATATATATATATTTATATAAAATACACACACAATTATCTTATATCTATATTTATTAGTATATATATATATATTATTGTATATATTATTATTATATATTTATATATATTATTTATACTAATTTAATTTATATTTTTTTATATATATTCTTATATATACTGTTAATTAATTATAATATTATATTACTTTATACTTATATAATATATATATTATTATATGTAATATTAATATTTTTCTATATTATTACCACTCACACACACCACACCACCACACACCACACACACACCACCACACACACACAACCACATATATAAATATATATATATTATATATATATATATTATATATATATATCAATTTAATACATATATTATATATATACATTATATATATACTCTATTATACATATATTAATATTACTATATATATTATATATATATATATATATATAATATATATATATATATATAACACAGATACACACACACACACACACACACACACACACACACACACACACACACACACACACAACCACACACACACACACACACACACACACACACACACACACACACACATTATATCATATATATATATTATATATATATATATATATATATATATATATATATATATATATAATATATTATATATATTATATTATATTATATATATAATATATACATACACATATACAAACATATATATATATATATATATATATATATATATATATTATATATATATATATATATTTATAGCAATATATTACATCCCTTGTCATTTTAACGAAACTAGCTTCACTTACAATTTTCTTCTCTGGACAGATAAGCCGCGCCCCCCCCCCCCCCCCCCCCCGCCCCGATAAGGGCATCACGGGTTCGCTTATCGGGGAACAGCTGGCTTTTTCCGCGCTTTTTTCCCGCGCTTTTCCCGCCCACGTGACTCGGGAGCGGCGTCTGTCTGACTCCGGGCTGGTGGCTGGGCGTGCTCGGCTCTGCTCTCCCGTGGGTTTTATTTCCATAATAGTGAATTGGAAACCATTTTTGTTATAGGTGAGGGACAGTTATGGTGTGTGTGTGTGTGTGTGTGAATGTTCGTGTATGTATACGTGTGCCTGTGTGTGTGTGCGTATGTATGTGTCTCGGTGTCTTTACCTGCTTTAACCATATAATATATATATATAATATATATATATATATATATATATATATACATATATATATATATATATATATATATATATATATATATATTATATGTGTGTGTGTGTGTGTGTGTGTGTGTGTGTGTGTGTGTGTGTGTACATACACATATTTCATCTTATATCTTATACATTATTCGCTTTTCCATTTTATATTCTATTAGTTATAATTACTATTTTTGTTAATATATGTGACCTTAATGTCTAAAACATTTATTTGCTTTAACCATTTACTATTACTACTATGATCATAAGGTGGATGATAAAGCTGATGATTATCATAATAATGATAATACAAATGATAAAGAAATGATAATGATAATGATTTTTATATTGTAAGGCTAGTATCATTATCACTGATATTATTATTATTATTTCTATTATTATTATTATTTCTATTATTATTATTATCATCATCTTTATCACTATCACCATCATTATTATTATTATCATCATCATCATTATCACTATCACCATCATTATCATTATTATCATTATCATCATCATCATTATCACTATCACCATCATTTTTATTATCATCATCATCTTTATCACTATCACCATCATTATCATCATTATTGTTACTTCCACCCAAGAGGTTTACGTTTTTGGTAACGTTATTTTTTTTATTCATTAACAGAATAACTCAAAAAGTAACGAACAGATTTCTACGATTTTTTTTTTTTTTTTTTTTTTTTTTTTTTTTTTTTTTTTTTTTTTTTACCAAAGGCGCGTCATGGCCAAGCTTGGTGGTGATTTTTTTTTAAAGATTGCATTAATTAAGCAATTTAATTTAATTAATTTACAGGGGTAACTATTGTTATTATTACCCTTATCTTTATTACCTCTGCAATGGAGGTTATGTTTACGTTAGCAGTGTACTTGAGAAAGAGGTAATTTTAAGGTAATTTTTCAAGTGTGAATATTTTTGTTGCATCAGTGGTCCTGTTGCCTCGGCGGAGGTATGCGCGCTGTGTTTTTAGTTATGTGTATTATCATTACTATTATTATTATTATTTTTATCACTATTATTATCATTATCCTTTTTTATCATTATCATTTATTTTTTATTATCATTATCATTATCCTTTTTATTATCATTATCATTATCATTGTTAATATTACCATTATTGTCATTATTACCATTATCATCATCATTACTACTGTTGTTATTGTTATTTATTATTATCATTATCATAAAAAATATCATAGTTATTATAGTTCGTATTTTTGTTGTTAACATTATTATAACTATCATAATGATGATTGTTATTAATATTATTGTTATTATCATTTTAGTCTGTTATTATCATTTTTACATCATTATTATGATAACAATAAAAGTAATATTGAAGACAGTATACAATAATAATGATAATAATAATGATATGAATAATGATAATCATGATATTAATTATAATTAATTATGATGATTGTAAATTATGATAGTTTTACAATTAATAACAATGATAATAAGAATGATCATTATAACAAAGATCATACCAAACGTAATTGAAACAGTGATATACTGTATTTAATATTATATCCAATAGGCTATTATAGATAATAATATAATGATATAAAGATAATAATATAATGATATAAAGATATTAATATAATGATATAAAGATAATAATATAATGATATAAAGATAATAATATAATGATATAAAGATAATAATATAATGATATAAAGATAATAACATAATGATGTAATAATAATGATATAATGATAATAATATACAAATAATATACAGAGATTTCTGGTTTCACTTAAATTTGCCGTCACACTAGCATTTTTTCCGTCATTTTTTGGACAATTTTCCGAAATTTTGTCCATTTTTTTTAGCGAATTGTCGGTTTTCCAGTCAGTCGATAACGATCGTTTCCGTCTGAAAACCTTTCCGTCAACTTTTTTTTCAGCCAAGCAAAGTCAAATCGAGAGCTATATTCGAGAATGTCTGTGTTTATGTTAAATAGAATTGTCAAAAAAATAGCGGAAAAAGTGCTAGTGTGACAGCAACTTTAATTCGAGCAAAAGCAGAGTGTTACCCAGAGGCAGTAGTTCTTTGCCTGTGAAAGATACAGATTGCTGTTATTTTAGTAATGATAATGAGTGTGGGAATAATAACAATGGTAATGATAGTAATGATGATGATAATGATGATATTGGTAATGATGATAATAACAGCAGCAGTAATAATAGTAATGATGATGATAATAATTATATTTGTAATGATGATGATAATTATATTAATAATGATGATGATAATTATATTGGTAATGATGATAATAACAATAGCAGTAATAACAGTAATGATGATAATAATAATATTTATAATGATGATGATAATATTGGTAATGATGATTATAACAACAGCAGTGATAATGATAATAATAATAATGGTAATATTAATAGTAATGATAATAACTAGAAGCACTCAGCGCATGCCTCCGCCAAGGCAGTGGGGTCACATGCAACAGAAATATTCACACTTGAAGAATCATATTAAAATCAAAATTACTTTCTCAAGTACACTGGTGACGTCCGTAAACAATAATAAAAATTACCCATAATGCCAATGCCAAAAATCCTGGCTCTGGATCATGACTTTTACCAAAAATTTTATGGCATCGGAAGTTAAGTAAAGACACACCTCTGGTAAAACTTTCATAGAAATCTGTTCGTAACTTTTTGAGTTATCCTGCTAACGAACAAACAAACTAACCAACGCTACCAAAAGCATAACCTTGTCGAAAAGTAATAATCACAATAATAATGATGATGGTAATAATAATAATAATGGTAGTTATAATAATAAAAATCATGTAGAAATGATCACGGTCTTTCGAACAATGACATTTGCGATAAAAAAAAAATTCTTGTTTCGTAAAAAAAAAAAATTTATGTAGATCATTTTTTATCGAAGTTGTTTTGTCACAGGGTTCCAAGAGCAGCATGAGGAGCAGGAAGTTTCGTCTGCTTCTGCTAGTCCTGCTGGCGGGGTTGGCTGCTGTAATACGCGTGTGAGTTGGCTCCTGCTTCCTTGCTCGTCTGTACTTGTTTCTGCCTCTTCTCTGTATTCTCTGCGTCTGTCACTTGTTTCTGCCTCTTGCGTCTGTCACTTGTTCTGCCTTCTGCGTTGTCACTTACTCGCGTCTGTCACTTCGCCTCTTGCGTCTGTCACTTGTTTCTGCCTTCTGCGTCTGTCACTTGTTTCTGCCTCTTGCGTCTGTCACTTGTTTCTGCCTCTTGCGTCTGTCACTTGTTTCTGCCTCTTGCGTCTGCCACTTGTTTCTGCCTCTTTCGCGTCTGTCACTTGTTTCTGCCTCTTGCGTCTGTCACTTGTTTCTGCCTCTTGCGTCTGTCACTTGTTTCTGCCTCTTGCGTCTGTCACTTGTTTCTGCCTCTTTGCGTCTGTCACTTGTTTCTGCCTTCTGCGTCTGTCACTTGTTTCTGCCTCTTGCGTCTGTCACTTGTTTTCCTTCTGCGTCTTCACTTGTTTCTGGCGTCTGTCACTGGCTGCTTCTGCGTCTGTCACTTGTTTCCTGCCTTTGCTCTGGCTGCTCTTGCGTCTGTCACTTGCGTCTTCACTTGTTTCTGCCTTCTGCGTCTGTCACTTGTTTTTTCTGTCTGCGTCTGTCACTTGTTTCTGCCTTCTGCGTCTGTCACTTGTTTTCTGCCTTTGCGTCTGTCACTTGTTTCTGCCTCTTGCGTCTGTCACTTGTGCCTCTGCGTCTGTCACTTGTCTGCCTCTTGCGTCTGTCACTTGCTGCTGTCCTGTCACTGTCACTTGCGTCTGTCTTGTTTCTGCCTTCTGCGTCTGTCACTTGCGTCTGTCACTTGTTTCCTCTTTTCTGTCACTTAGTCTTGTCACTTGGCCTCTTGCGTCTGTCACTTGTTTCTGCCTCTTGCGTCTGTCACTTGTTTCTGCCTTCTGCGTCTGTCACTTGTTTCTGCCTTTTCTGTCACCTGCTTCTGCGTCTGTCACTACTGTCACTTGTTTTTCTGCCTCTTTCTGTCAACTTGTTTTCTGCCTCTTGCGTCTGTCACTTGTGTTTGCGTCTGTCACCTCTGCGTCTGTCACTTGTTTCTGCCTTCTGCGTCTGTCACTTGTTTCTGCCTCTTGCGTCTGTCACTTGTTTCCCTTGCGCCTTTGTCAGGATTGTAACCCCTTTGAAGTCTAAGTGTACGACCACACTGCGAGCGGTTAGCAGGGAGGGTAGAGGGTAGCGGGTAGCGGGGTGGAGGGTAGAGGGTAGAGGGTAGAGAGTAGAGGTAGAGGGTAGAGGGGAGCGGGTAGCGGGTGGGGTAGAGGGTAGGGTAGCGGGGTGGAGGGTAGAGGTAGCGGGGTGGAGGGTAGAGGGTAGCGGGGTGGAGGGTAGAGGGTAGCGGGTGGAGGTAGAGGGTAGCGGGGTGGGGGTAGAGGGTAGAGGGTAGCGGGGTGGAGGGTAGAGGGTAGAGGGTAGCGGGGTGGAGGGTAGAGGGTAAGGGTTAGCGGGGTAGAGGGTAGAGGGTAGCGGGGTAGCGGGTAGCGGGGTGGAGGGTAGAAGGGTAGCGGGTAGGGTAGCGGGGTGGAGGGTAGAGGGTAGCTTGGGTGGTGGGGGGGTAGGGTAGAGGGTAGAGGGTAGAGGGTAGCGGGTGAGGGTAGGGTAGCGGGGTGGAGGGTAGAGGGTAGAGGGTAGAGGGTAGCGGTATAGAGGGTAGCGGGGTAGGGTAGAGGGTGCAGCGGGGTGGAGGGTAGAGGGTAGGGTAGCGGGGTGGAGGGTAGAGGGTAGCGGGTAGCGGGGTGGAGGGTAGGGTAAGGGTAGGGTAGGGTAGGGTAGCGGGGTGGAGGTAGAGGGTAGCGGGGTGGAGGGTAGAGGGTAGGGGGTGGAGGGTAGAGGGTAGAGGGGAGGGTAGAGGGTGGAGGTAGAGGTAGCCGGGGTGGAGGGTAGGGAGGGTAGAGGGTAGGGCGGGGTGGAAGGGGTAGAGGGTAGCGGGGTGTAGAGGGTAGCAGCGTAGGGTAGAGGTAGCGGGTAGCGTAGCGGGGTGGATGGAGGGTAGCGGGTAGCGGGGTGTAGAGGGTAGCGGGTGGAGGGTGGAGGGTGGAGGTAGAGGGTAGCGGGGTGGGGGTAGAGGGTAGCGGGTAAGGGTAGCGGGTAGCGCGGGTAGCGGGTGGAGGATAGATAGCGGAAGCGAGGGTAGCGGGTAGCGGGGTGGAGGGTAGAGGGTAGCGGGTAGCGGGGTGGAGGGTAGAGGGTAGGGTAGCGGTAGCGGGGAGGGTGGAGGGTAGAGAGTAGCGGGTAGCGGGGTGCTCAGCGGATCAGAGACACGGACAAACACATGTAGGCCTATACGAACGGCCATACTCGACGCGGGTAGCGGGTTCCCTCCAACCTCACATTCGACAACGCATTCCTGTCCCGCTAAGCATCCCGCTACCCTCTAGACTCACAGCAAAGTGCGTGTATAAATAAAGCAATAAATAAATAAATAAATAAATAAAGTAATGGATTTTTTCCTTTTTTTCAATGTTTTTTTATATGGCAGAGGAGAAGGGCGTGGCTAAGAGAAGGGGTCGGGGGAGCAGGGTGGGGTGGGGACTTATCACCGCCCCCTCCCCCCCAAGTGATGCATGGCATAGAGATAAAGATAAATAACTAATTAACTAACTAGAATACGTAGAATAAATAACCAAGATTAGATTATGTATATGGTATTGAATAACTTCATGGCTTTGCAACTACGAATACCTGATGGATGATATGTGTCAACACGAAGATTTTGTTATTTTTTGCTGTTTATGTCTAGTATGAAATGTTTTTGTAATTGTAAAAATATCAATAATTATTTCTATTTTATCATGAATATATTTTCAATCAGATTTTTTAAATGCAGGGGGCTTCACATGGGACCTAGACCATCGGGAAAGGCTAGATCAATAGCAGCTCGTGGAGGTGTCATTGCGCCTGATTCTATTTTTGGGAAAAAAAAGCACGTAGGGTTAATTTTGATGACGTCACAAAAGTTACGGACGCTTAGTGAATATGGTCGATCATTTTGGTCTTTTCAATTTTCAAAAAAGGATGGAAAATAATGATTTTAAGGGTTATATTTTCATTGAACAATCGTCAAAACAGGCGCCATGACATCTTGAGTTGCTACTGATCTAGCCTTTCCCCAAAACCTTCCCCCTTGGCTCCTAAATCTAGCTATGCCCCTGAAATGTATTTTGATATTTTTATCAATATTATTATCAGATAAATTAAAGTACTTCAGCAAAAAATAAAAAATAATAATAAATAATTAAAAACCTATGATAATAGATGAAAAAATACCAGTGTTGAAAAAGAAAAAGAGATTGTTTAAAGAATCCTCCATTTTTTTTACAGATTACGACACAGTAGTCTCCAGCAAGGGAAGGACGAGGCCTGTGACGAAAAAGGCGCGGTCGTTGCCAAGTAGGGATTTATAGTGATCGCTAACTTTCGTATTGTATTATTTTTCGTATTGTATTGTATTTATTGTATTTCGTATTGTATTCGTATTATTTTTGGTTTATGCTTTTCTCAGTGACTGGTTATTCTTTTGTCAGTGACCTCTGGGCTAAACCATTGTCAGAGATCAATGGGTTATACTTTGTTCAGTGTATGCTGGCCCTGCTGGGTGATGCATTACACTGCAGGGGTTGCCGAGTTTTGTATTTGTTAGTGATCGCTGGGTTATGTTATTTAGAGATCGCTATTTTATGTTATTCAGAGATCGCTGTTTTCTGTTATTCAGAGATCGCGGTTTTATGTTATTCAGAGATCGCTGGTCTATATCATTTGGAGATAGCTTGTTACATGATTCAAAGATCGCTGGATGATATTCAGAGATCGCTGGGTTATATTATTTGGAGATCGCTTGTTATATTCTTCAGTGGTCGCTGGGTTATATTCTGTGATCACTGGTATATTTCTTTCAATGATCGTTGGGTTATATCATTCAAATATCACCGGGTTATGTCGTTCAGTGATCTTTGGGTTATTCACTGTTGTGTGGGTGCTGGGTTGTGTATTATCCCTAGGTATTTCTTTGAAATAAATACATGAATTATTAAAGTAGAGATGAAAAGATAATGTGAATATTACGTAAAATGAAGGAAAGTGAATAATTCTTAGAGAATTTGTCATTATAACTTGAACTTGCTTTCCAGGGAAGGACTCCAGGCATTCGGTAAGTGAATTTATAATGAGAATAATAACAATAAGAAAAATAACAATGATAATGACGAAAAACGTAATAATGGTTATCATTAGTATAATATTAACGATGATGCTGATGGCAATGATGATAATGATTACTAGTATGATGTTAAAATGATGATGGAGCTTTGGAGGGAAAGTGAAGTTAATAACAAAAGTATGAATGGTGATAATGATGACAACAATAATGATAACAATAATACAAATGAAGCTGATAATAACAACAAATATATACATATACATATATATGAATATATAAACGATCAACATAGTATATCCGTTACCCCTTCTATTTCTCCCCCCCCCCTCCTCCTCCCCACTTCCCACAGACGAGAGGGAGGTCGAGCGGGAGAGCGAAGGGGGTGTGTGGCGCCCCTGGGGGGACTCGGGGGACGGGGTCTGCGCCCTCCATGAGACAAGGTGAGTCGCATTTTCACATAATGTTAGTACTAAGAAATTTATATACTAAGTAATTTATATACTAATTTATATACTAATTTATATACTAAGTTAGTACTAAGAAATTTATATATATATGCATTTTCACATAATGTTAATGCCAAGATACTTATATACTTATATAGTGTTGAAATGTGTGTATCATGTAATTTGATAACAGAAATATCAAATTATATAGTAAATATATATCTCATGGTATTTTAATTTTTGTACATATATCGAATGGTATTTGATTTTTGTTGTACTATGGATGAACACGGATGTAAAATGCGGATTTTAAAAAGTAAAAAATAATTTCATCCCACTATTTTTCCTCATGAAAAATATATGCAGAAGTAATGATTGTGAAGAAGAAAGTAAGAAAGAAAGAAAGAAAACATCGTGGCACTATTTTTTTATATTCATACCTTAATTTCGTAATAATGTTAACATCCTTTCAAGAAACTTTTCTCGTAATCTCACCAGGAACGGAATTTATTAGATTGTATAGAAATACGTTTAGGAATATATTTATCTATCTATGTATGTATGTATCTATATATCTATCTATATGTATCTGTCTGTCTATCTATATGGATGTATGTATGTATCTATATTTAACTGTATGTATCTGTCTATCTATCTCTATGTATGTATGTATCTATATCAATCTATCCATCTATATGTATTTGTCTATCTATATGTATGTATGTATCTATATCAATCTATCTATCCATATGTATGTATTTATCTATATCAATATCTATCTATATACATGTGTGTGTGTGTGTGTGTAATGAACACACACACACACACACACACACACACACACACACACACACACACACACACACACACACACACACACACACACACACACACACACACACACAAATTAATATATATATATATATATATATATATATATATTAATATATATTGTCTTCATGCCTAAGAAAATGATTTTGGGCATATTTAAAGAAATGGAACGATTCATTTTGGGGAAGAGTAACGGTTAAAAGATTCAAAATAGTGAAGTAAAACCTCGCGTTCGAAGCCGCCTTTCCCGAGGTACCCAAAGTCTCTCTTTTGACTTGTTTACTTGTTTATTCATCTGATTGTTTATGGCTATTGCCTCCTGTCCCTCTCCGTAGGTTTGGCCGCGCCCTGCCCCGGGTCCTCCTGCTGTCGTTCCCTTGCTCGGGCAACACGTGGCTCAGGTACCTGCTGGAGGGCGCCGCCGGCCTCTTCACCGCCTCCGAGTTCGCCGACGAGGAGCTCCTCAGGGCGGGTGAGGCCTCCAGGGGGTGGGGGGTGGGGTGGGGGGTGGAAGGAACATATACATATGTGTGTGTGTGTGTGTGTGTGTGTGTGTGTGTGTGTGTGTGTGTGGTGTGTGTGTGTGTGTGTGTGTGTGTGTGTGTGTGTGTGTGTGTAATTTAACCTGATCTGCGTCGCCTGCAGGTGAAGGAACGGGCGAGAACATGAATCATGGAGGTTCCGTCAGTCTCCTTAACAGTGCATTCTCTCTTCGCCAGGGTTCCTGGGCGAAGGCGAAGACCCAGGCAGCGGGAGGACCTTGGTGCAGAAGAGCCACGGCGCCGTCGACAAGTCGCGGCCGGACCTCGCGGGGCGTCACGAGGCGGTGGGACCCAGCACTCCGGCCGTCCTGCTGCTGCGCGACCCTCGAAGGTGAGGGGATGGGGCGCCCTTGTTTAGAGGCCTGCGTGTGTATAATCTCTCTCTCTCTCTCTCTCTCTCTCTCTCTGTCTCTTTTTTCTGTAGATGCGTGTGTATAATCTCTCTCTCTCTCTGTCTGTCTCTTTTCCTCGCATTCTGTCTCTGTCTCTGTCTCTCTGTCTCTCTCTCTCTGTGCTGGCGCAGCGGTAAGGTGCTGGTCTAGCAATCTTGCGGACCTGCGTTCAATCCCACGCCCGGCCAGTGAGTGGTATCCCCGGCCACTCCTTGCACACAGGGGGAGATTTGGGCAAAATAAAACAGACAGTATGTCATAGCAAAGAATATCCATTGTAACAAATGGAATTAAAACTAAATCTTTAAATCTTTAAAATCTTAAAATCTCTCTCTCTCTCTCTCTCTCTCTCTCTCTCTCTCTCTCTCTCTCTCTCTCTCTCTCTCTCTCTCTCTCTCTCTCTCTCTCTCTCTCTCTCTCTCTCCCTCCCTCTCTCCCCTCTCTCCCTCCCCCCCTCTCTCTTCTACCTGTCTATCTATCTGTCCATCTATACAACTATCATTTGTCATATGACAGCTTTCCTTTCCCCAAGCCAGAGCAATCATTTCGTTCTGGAAGCTTCTATCCCGGCCGGGGGACGGCAGACACACCGCCCAGCTGGCGCCCTCAGGACTTCCAAACTAACGGTGAGACATTTCTCTATTTCACCTTCTTTCCTTTTTTTGTCTTTATTCAAGGTAAAAGAGACATAAAGAAGGAATTATTATGGGAAAGAGGAGAGACGGCGTGTCGGGAAGTGATGATAATGGGGGTAATAATGATTATGAAGATAAATATTGTGGTAGTGATAACACCATTCAAATGTAAATCTTAGGTGGCAACTGCAAAGCTAAGCCCTCCTATGGTCATCATTTGTTGTATATTATATATATATATATATATATATATATATATATATATATATATATATATATATATATTTCTGTCTTTTTCCGTTATCTTTACCATTAAAATTTGCCAGAATACTGGAATACTATAGGGAAATGGTATTTTTTGGGGGGATGAACAGGCTCAATGTAGGTATTGTTATTTATCTATTAAGTATCTTGGCTAAGACGAGCACATAATAATAATGATTATAATGACATGGCACTGACAATAGCAATAGTTCCCTCCATCAACCATTTTCCCCACTGCTTTCCTCCAATCAGCTTTCAGAGGCCACGTCGAGCGCATGACGTCACAGTGGGAGGAGCTTGCAACGGACCGCCTCCTGTGGAACTCCGCCCCCTTGTTCGTGCTCCACTACGAGCGCCTCCTGATGGACCCGCTTGGACACCTGAGGAAGATCCTGCGTTTTCTTGGGTAATTCTTGGTATTATTCTTTATTTATCATTATTTATTTATTTATTTATTATTCTTTATTACCTTTAATTATCTGATATACTATTATTGATCATTGTTCTAAAGGGATATTGAAAACTATTTTTGATTAGGATGATGTCATCTGAAGAACTTTATGCTTCCTTAAGTGATACTACTTCAATTGCTTAACTTTTAAAACGTCTTTTTATGAATCTGTAACTGCTTGATTGATCGTTGCGGGAAACCGTAGACATGCCTTTACTAATCAACCTAATGTTCAAACCTTCTAGGGTAAATTTTAGATAAATTTTAGACATTTCCAGGGGCGCAACTAGGAATTTCAGAGGGCAGGGGTCCAGGCCACACAAAGGGCACAATATGAATTTTATTTATAGGGGATATAGTCTAAATCATGTTCTTCAGATTTAAAAACGGAAGAAACGTTACAAGAATCTTAATGATAATGATTATTTGCACTGAACCAAACAAAAAATATAATAAACAGTCTCATCGCCATCCCAAGGTCAAGAGGAAGAAAATGCCCGAGAAAAAGAGCACTTTCACCCCTTTGAGAAAAAGGGCAGGGGTTCGGACCCCCAGGACCCCCCTCCCCCGGAGTTGCGCCCCTGATTTCCATCGTTTTGTGGTCGTTTAGCCAACGGTCTTAGAGTAAAAGAGCATTAAAGGCACAGTAAATAGTAAACGTGAAGGCGGTTTGTAACACCTAAGGAAATTATCTAACTTCTCTAGGTAATAAGGTTCAATTTTGCATTAGTTGAGACAATTTTATTCAGGTATTACAAATGTATCTATGGCTGTAAAAAAAAAAAAGCATATTGAAAACATACCCTTATGTTGCTCATATCACCCGAGGAACTTCCAAAACTTTTGGATTACTCTGCACGTCTCAATTTCATACCACTAAATCTATTAGTAAGGAAGGATTGTAATGAAAATATAAGGAAAACACATTCTAATAATAATATTATAATAACACCAATAGGGTATCATTTATCTTCAGTTTAGTTCGCTGTTTTAGATTCTCAATTCAAATTGTATAACCGTCATTCGGATCTGGTTACTGATTACCAGGTTCTTTGTGCATGTTTTACGAAGCAGGTCGTTATTACGATATAATTTGAATTCTTAAATATCCTTAACTATCCTACTAGTTCCATCTAGCATGCGTGGCCGAAAATACAGTTGATTTTAACGATATTACATTTTTCTTTGTAAAGTTTTAAATTCTTCAGGAAGCTGCAGTCGAGCTACACCTAAATTCTTGATTGACTTTCCTAGCTATAATGCGGGAGCGTGGTGGATCTCACATCAATGCCTTTCTTTACCGGAGAGACTAACTCGCCAACCGTTTTCTTTAGCTCTATTTATCAGTATTTTTATTTTATTTTATTTATATATATTTTATATATATAGTATATTTATTCCATAGACTGTTGATTAAAGCAACTGTACCCCCCTTCTGCCCCAAGCATGCCTGTCGACGAGGAGAGATTGAGGTGTTTGGCAACTCACCTCGAAGGCTCTTTCAAGCGCTCGGGCAACGAGGATTTCGACCCTTACACGGAGGAGGAAAAGAGGAGACTTTCCCTTGCCGTCGAGCGAGTGCAGAGGCTCCTGAGGCTCATGGGCTACCCAGACCAGCCTCTCTACGAATGGCAAGACGCTCTGCCCTAGGCCTATTCCTGCATTCTTTTTTTTGTAGGCTTATAGTAACGCCCCTGTCTTTCCCTTATTTGTGTGTGTGATAAGTTTATATCTCATATATAGTATATATATGAACAGTGCATTCATAAGGACATAAGACACACGAGAGTCAAATCACAGTTCCATTTCACTCCCAACTTTTGAACACGATTTGACGAATATGCATATGGTAAAGGTCGGGACAGTGTTATGCATAGGATATGTATGTACAAATATGCTTTGCCCAGCGCTCTCTCTCACCGCCGTGTAACTGCTATTGAATAAACGGAGAACTAGAGTTTGTCTGCTGTCTGCCCTAAAGAACCTATTACTTGAGAATTAATACATATGCACACATGCATACAAAGACAAGCACACATGTACATGCACAAGCATTATATTGTACATATATATGTGCATGTGTACACACACACACACACACACACACACACACACACACACACACACACACACACATATATATATATATATATATATATTATATATTATATATATATATATATATATATATATATATATATGTATATATATATAATGTATATATATATATATATATAATATATATATATATATATATATATATATATAGTTGTGTGTGTGTGTGTATGTATATATATATATTGTGTATATAC